TTTTTTTTTTTTTTTTTCTGTTGTAATCCACACTTTTTTCGTTGGTAATTTTTACCAATTCGCGAGATGAATCTTTGTCGGGGTAAAAATGACAAAAACAACTCGCACATCTTCGCGTAAATATACGGAATGGCCATGGCGCGTGGACAAATCGAGTTGCTTCAGCATCGGTATAAAATACCGTTATGCGGTAACAAACGCAAAACTCGTATACCTGTAAGCACCGCGCTAAGAACGTCCAAACTACCCCGACCGACGAGACGTCTTTCGCGTTGTTGCACTCCTTCTCTCTTACATGCACTCGCGTAAGTACAGTAATTTGACGTGCGTACACCCACTAACGATTTGGTAAAAAAAAAAACGCTAAACTATCGCGCTAATGAAGTATACCGCAATACAATGTATTTTTACACGAGGATAACTTAGATACGAAGAACAATTTATTTCGCTCGAGGTGAAAATATTGTTAAATCTCATAAACGCGCTAATTTAAATGTCGAGCGTGTGTGTATGTGTGCATAATGCGATACTCAAGATTTCACGCGTTCCGTATACGTCTGGACTAAGCGTATAGAAATTAGGTTGTGTACAATGTACGAGCACACAATAGGTGCTCTGGCAAAAAGTGGCACGACAAACGGACAAATGGACGCAGAACTCGAGTTCCAAACAAGCGATTCATAAATTTTGTGGATCTATTTATATATAAACTGATTTACAACTCGTGCGATTACGTAATTAGTATACCTTGTAAGCCGAGAGAACGTGTGCCTATTTTTTTTTTTTTTCCTTTTTTTTTTTTTTTTTTTTTTTTTTTTTTTTTTTGCTTTCTCTTTCGTTCCTTTCATTTTCGCCATCTGAGACGGAAATGGAGTGCATTAATGCAAACGCATTGGCAATTTTTGCTGAACGCGCGCATTCACGCTCCCCCTCCCGTGAGTAATATAGCCTCCGCGCGAAATGCAGTGCCAATAATTGTTTCGACGCTCGCGAGATTGTCTACTTCAGCCTTTTCGTATAAATAATGCTAATGGAATTTATTTTTTTTTTTTTAATCTTTTTCACTTTCACAGACTCGTTGAATCTCATCGTGTATCGATGGATATACAACTTAGACAAAATTAATGTAGCTCCTCTCGTCACTTTGCGTCCAACTTAATTGGGTCGCGAGTAACGTGCAAATTGTCGTTCCGAAATACGCAAGTACACAAGTACAAGACAGTCGTGCAGATCCGCTCGAACAAGAAAAGTAAGTTTTCGCAACTGCAAGGACGACAATAAGGGCGCATTTGCATCCTTTCCCGTTTGGAATCGACATTGGCGGTACAGTTGATGTACATACACCCGCAGATCTACCCTCGATGGGGGGGGAGTGAATTTTCGAAACTCAATTTTCCCGCTTCTTTGTCCTTCTTTTGCCCAACACCCGGCAACGGAAGAGGCGCCCCCCCCCCCCCCCCCCACCACTTTTTTTATACCTGCACACGTTTTCAACTTTCGCGGCTTGTGGAATCGATTCGGCTCACGTGTGCACGTCCAGAAGTGAAAACTCGCACCCATAGATGTAGTGACAAAGACGCTTTAAATTGTTAACGAATCAACGCGGCTCTTTTCGTTACGTATAATATACATGTGCATATGGTTACGAGAGCACCCCCGCGGGGGTTACAAGCCGAGAGCAGACGTAAATTATAAACGCATTAGATGCAGGAGGGAGCGGAATACAAATTGATTTATGATCGCGTTGACGCGCCCTGCATACCCGATGCGGCGAGGCTCCTTTTCTTCCTCGGCGTCTTATCATCTTGGATTCCTCCACGAGCTCCCGCCAAGGGAAAAACAGAGCGGATCGATTAATCTGCCGGATGAAAAAGTAAGGAGGTCACGCGCGGACCCTCGATTAAGACGAAGTGATTTTTCCCACGGCCTCACTCGTCGAGAATTTTTCCCCGGCAAACCAAGTGCCGGCTGGATTTTCTACCGTCCTTATTTTTCCGCGATTTTCTGTCCCCATGCACACGCGATACCCAAAGCCACCGGGGACGATTTACATATTCACCCGCTATCGCGACGTATCAATAATTACGTTTTGGCTCGCGACAAACGCGTCCAAAAAGATTATAAATAAAATAAAAAAAAAAAGAAAAGACCGTCACGCTGGCATAGTGGTGTTTTATTGATAAAAACAGTGCGATATCGAGTGTCGCGTATAAAGCATCAAAATGCATGAGCTCTGTATTTTTAATGAAAAAAAAAAAAAAAAAAAAAAAAATGATACTGCAGCGAGGCGACGCCGTTCAATATATACACGCACATGCAGATGATGTTGCATATCGAAATTCGCCCCACCCACCGGACTACCCGACGCATGAATAGATAATAAACGACAAGGGTGGGACTGAAAACGCACGGCAGCGGTATTATTATTATTTGACCGTAAACTCTATCGATTTCACGCGCAAGGCGTACACACGTTCGATTCCATTGGGTCCGCGTATCGGCTTTTATGAAACCTCCCGCGGGGAATGCGTGTATATATANAAAAAAAAAAAAAAAAAAAAAAAAAAAAAAAAAAAAAAAAGCGAAATACACACAAAAACTTTATTTTTTACACCATGTACATTTTTTGCATTATTGCAGGGGCACTTTTCGCTCCTTTCCCACTACCCTTAGCCGAAAGGAAGTTTTTTTTCTCGAGCGTTTGTGCTCCTGTTTCCCCCTCATTCGTATTATTTTTCTTTCTTTTACCTTTGAAATTTTTTTGTATCTCTCTTTTTTTTTCTCAGACCTTTTTCTAATTGTATTTATCTTGGTACACGCAACCGTATCCTTTGAAGCCCCTCTTGATTGTTGCAACCCCATGATTCTCCAAATTGAACTAAAACAAAAAATGTACAATTAAAACTTTGCCATACGACGCGGTGCACGGGCCATATAATATGTTGGTACAAAGTCCTGAAACGCAAAAAGTACAGCCCTCCGTCATCACGGAAGTGCGATATCTCGGGCTTGGGGGGAGAGAGAGAAAGCATTTTTTCCTCTCGTTGATATCCACGTAATTGAATGGCCGGCATGCGTAGAGAGAGTACTGTTTGCTCGAAAGGGGCTTAGCCGGGGGCCGTTGATTAACGAGTAGTGTGCACAGCTATAGGTAAGCTTACCTATACCACGTACATATACCATGGAGTAGCTGGCAATCGGCTGGCGAGTCGGAAGCTCGAGCCTTCCGCCTCTCAGCGCTTCTCTCTCTATCTATCTCTTTGTGTGCGAATGTGTGCGCACATAGGGGGGGGGGGGTTATTGGGGTGCTCGGTCCGGATAACCAGACGCGCTTTCCGCTGTGGTTTAAATGCGCACACGGGGCACAAGCGTACAGGGAAGGTAAGGAAACGGCTTCTGGTGTACGCATCCACGGAGCGCCCCGAGGTATATGCGCATTGAATAACGCGGCGAAAGCCAGGGTATATTATAGCTCCAAATGGAATGCAGATGCGCGAGTGC